GTAATAAATTTATTCAGAAACCACATGTACTCTTCCTTCAATTTAGTGAAAGTTGCCAAAAAGTAATAAACTTAACTGCACTCATTATTTTCAGACTACATGTAAGCCACCAAAAATAGAGAATCTGAATAAACAATTCAAAGAAAAGCAAGTGCACAAGGTTTTCATTCATTTCTGTCTGACCAACATAATTATCTTAACCCTTTGTACTCAGCATGTATGAGAAATTGATTACATGTTGGAAGGCATCTGCAAGATGACAGATTGATGGTGGTGTGTAGCTCGAAGTATGTCTTAAACAGGTCCTACAGGCCGGAGGGCAGATCTGAGATGACATACATTGTGTTATTGAATTTTCAAAAAGATTATGGTCAATAATGTTGAATCATCAAGCCCCAAAAGCAAACCATAGTTGGCTATAATCCAAGTGATCAGAAAGATAACATTCCAGTCTTGCGTTCCTCAGCTGTGTTGTTTCAGTAGATTAGCATACTCATGTAGAAAAAATAATGTGATTATAATTTGGGAACAAGAAGACACATGAAATGTAAACACCGACAATTGTTTTCCTGTTATGACTAAACAATGTCTGAGCTAACAAACATGTGCAGTGGGCAAGTGCACCGAGTCAATGCGCCATTTTCCGATGTTATTCCAGACATGCCATCCAACCTGTAGGACATGCTGTCACTCATAAGATCCAATACGGTGCTGAGATGTGTAATCTGTAAGATGCCCTCTGAGTGCAAAGGGTTAACATATACCGGAAGAGAACAAAGGTTGAGCATATTTTGCAAGATGACAAACTGTTGTTTCCCCTACATATTCTTATACAGTTTCTGTAGAACTGTGCAATGTTTCGGGACTACAAGCAGTTATATGGCATATATAATAAATTATAGGCTCAAGATTTATTGGGTGGGTTCAACACAGCAGTGTCAAATTTAATTTTCATTCATTATTTATCAGGCAATCAATTTCCTGTGAACATCTGCCTTTAAAATATATCATTCAATTTTTATTTAATCATCAATGCAATGCTAGGTTAACCACATTTTAATATACAACTTTTTCCTCAATATAGCAGAATTTAAACCAGAGACTGGCCACACATTTTATAGAAAAGGATCACAAAACTGAAAGAGTAAATAGAGTATCAAAACCACAGAAACTTCAGAAAAGTCTTCAGAAATGCCTCCCTTTTTTAAAGCAACAAAGAAACATTAAAATCACGACAAAGGAAGGAGTAACTCTGTATTTTTTGTCTTTTCTTTTCCTCTTCCATTCTTTACAATATCAATCATCCACAATATTGTATGTCATTTCTTGCTTAAAGTCTCATGATTCTAAAGAGAATTGAACTCGCTACAGATATCCTTATAGTTACTTTTATTGACACCTAGTTTAACTGAGGTGCTTAAATGTTACCACTGATGAAATTGCTTTTCATAAACAAAAAAGGTAGTACAAAATGACACTTGTTATGATTATTTAAATGCAGTAATTTCCAAGCTAATTCCTTACATAAATAGAAAAGATATAAATTTTTCTTAACAAAAAGAAAATTGCTCAATGTGAATGTTTCATTGTTCACAAAGAAAGCTTACAGGTGAGAAAACATTTCCTCTCAGTTTACAAACCAGCAAAATACAGGAAATTATAATAACAATCATTAAGTTTTGTTTCTAGTTATCACATAATATAAATGAACAAGTTTTCTTATGAAGGTACTTAGAGCAAGTTGTCATTCAATTTTAAACATTTTGTTGCAAAACAGTTACATTATCTAACAATGTATATAACTCAAATGTATCATTCTTTACATTTGAAGTTGGATTTTAATATTTCAGACTCATCACATTATAGTGATAGAAGTTAAAGATTGTTAAATGAATCATCATCAAATTACAGAATGAATATGTATTATATTAGTGGGTTCAAATACAGGCAGCCTGTGAAAATAATTCAAAAAGATTTTCAAAAAAATGGTAAAGTAAAGAGTTAATATCGAACAATTTTGACTCTTTTGCAGCATAATACAGTCAATTTTACAATTTTAAACAGAATTACAGACACCCAAAAAGTGGATGTACTGTGAAGTTCACAGAATACAAAACCATCACTTACAGTAAAATAAAATAGAAAAGCACAACAATTTAAATACATAAGAAATAATTTGATTAAAGAAATTAAATTATTAGTTCTAGAAAAAACTAAGAATACACACTTGTGAAGATTAAGAAGTTGATGTTTTGCGAGCACAGAATGATCAGATCCAGTAATCAATTCAAATAAGAGGAATTTAATGTGATGATTCCAAGTCATTGTAAATTCTTACAAATGTGAGCCCACAAATTATTTGCACTACTTTGTACACAACCAATAAAATATATGTAAATTGCATAAATAAATACTTAAATACAAACAATATTTAGCTAATTACCATTGAAGAATTGCGTACTTAATGCAAAATGTAACGATTATGTATTTTCTCCATTCATGTTTACAATTTGTTCAATATTTGTACATTCTAGACATGCATTTTGTTAAATCTAAGCCATCTAACACACTGGCATAACCAGCCAGAAGCTAGGTTTGTATTTCAGAAATTTCCAGGCCCTATCACATTTCTAATCAGCTTCTTTTGAGACACGTCTTCAATTAGCGTAGTGATGTTGAGCCAACAAAATAAAGATCACAAATAACCAAGAGTGGTAATACACCTTCCACGTCAGTCTCTAATGAGGGTAAATTGAATTTATTGCCTACCAAGATGTTTTTTCCCGCTTCTCTTATCTCACGAGACAGCACAGCATGAGAGAGCTATGTCAATTGTAGAACACTTCAGTGCATGAGAACAGGCATGTTTAACTATACATCGTGTGGTCAAATATTCCAAGTACACAATGTGAATGCCTATTGGCAATATAAACATTACATTTAGGTGATTAATTATAGTATGCTTCCATTACAGTCAGAAGTTGGCAGGAAGTAGTATGCTTCCATTACAGCCAAAGGGTGCCAGTAGTTGCCAGGAATAAAGAATTCAAACTAATTGCTACATTTCATCATCTAGAACAATTAAAGAACATTTCAAATGTTTGTATTTTTTTTTTATTTATGTCTTCCTTGAAACAGTTTGGGAGACTTTTTTAAATGTATAGGCCAACATGGCTATAATTTACAGGGAAATGGACTGCATTTGTGTCAGGGTTTGGCTTAATATTTGGATAAGAATGAGCAAAGTTATCAAATTTAAGTCCCAAGTTTCATTATCGTAATCATTTAATTCTGTAACAAAAAACCTTAAAATTGTGTGGTCCTGGATATTTCACCACATAATTGGGTCTCTGTTCTGTTTGCACATCTTGAAATCAGTCTATATCCTTTAATCAGATCACATAACCTCAGATTATTGTTTCTAATACACAGAAAGGTCTGAAATTCTTTTAGTAGAAGATTCTTTGATTCAATACAGGATAAAAGAAGTAGCATTCACCATCTCCTGTTGGAACGATTATCTTTGAATACTTGAAAGTGATAGAACACATCGGCATACTAAAATTGTTCTGTACAATATGCAAAATAGATAACAAATATGTTCATAATATATTTTCATTTAATCTCTTCAAGCCACTAAGAGCAGACCTAGGCTGTGCCACTTCTGTGGTAATCAAGTTCTCTCTCCCCAAACCAACTGTAGAGGGTCCAGTTCTAAAATTTCAAGAAACAAGATGACTCTTTCCTACTTCCATGCACCTATATCAAATATACACAATCGAGAACATTAACTAAAAAAAATAAAGTCTGTGAGATTGGAGAAACACAATAAATCTGATCACACCGTATGTTCTTTTCAGCCTATGCCAGTGAACCAGATAGTAAAATTAACAACTCATAAAAAAAGAATTAAAAAAAAAAATGAAACAAGATTGAATAACAATTTAATAAAAAAGAAAAATGTTTTACTTATCCCGCTAATAAAAAAATTTGAAATGTATTTTTGAGATCTAGCAAACATTTTAGAGAAGGAAAAGCTGTCAAACTATAGGAAACATCAAAGACCTGTAAAACAAAATAAGAAAAGTTAATTCCTTACATATCCGAAGTCCAAAAATATTACCATATAATTGGAACTTAAAAAGAATGGAATGACAAAAATATATATTTAAAATTTGGCAATCTACTTTTTGTTAATTTATAATACACCCAATCATGTAAACAAAAACAACAAAGACAAAGTTAACATCTCAGTAATATACAAATGTTTAAAAAAAAATTATAAACTTTATCCACAAAACTGATATTGTGAGCTTATGGCTTCCCAGTTATTTTCTTGCAAAATCTCCTTCAGTATAGTAATCGTATCTACAATACTTGGAAAATTCATTTGTGGATTCACTATTTCTGATTTTTTGTTATTTTGAGAACATCTTAAATTTTCTAAATATATTTTATTGTTGTACAAATTTGTTTTTGATATGTTTTCTTCAAAACATTTACAATGCAAAAAGTATGTTGACAACTTGGACCAGGCATTCCTAACCTTTTCTTTCATCGACCACTGTTAAGAGAATTCATCAACCTCCATACATTTTCATTATAGTATGTAACATGTATAGTAATAACAAAGAATTGCCTTAAGGACAATTTTGTGCACCTGTATTCTCATAAATATCTCTACTTTTAAGAATCGGAGACACTTTTAGTTTTGAGTAGCTGTGTTTCTTATCTTTGTAATACAATGGTTACAAAATGCAGTGTTTTTTTTTAAGAATTCGTTTGTTTTTGGATGACGAATATGAAAGAAGAGCAAACTTGTAATTTACTATTATAGTATATATTTTGTTGCTTTATATCAGAAAACAATTAATTATCAAGTTCATTAATATGTTATCAATGTGATCTTGATTATACTGATCAGTCACTGCTCATATTCAAGCTACTTCCCCCCCCCCCCCCCCCCCCCCCCCCCCTCCCCCCCCGCCCCTTGACCATCATGACCTCCTTCAAAATTTTATTGACCACCAGGGGTTCAATGCAGACACTTGAGAATCTCTGACTAGGAAAAAACTATAAAAGAAATAATACATGTTTTTATTTTATTATTACATTATTTTTAAAAAAAATTTTTTTTGCATAATTTGTGGACAATGAGTTGAGTAAGGTGTTCAGTGTTTAACACCATTCCTTGCCTCTTGCACTACCATACATACACATCTGTAACTTACCTAAAACTTAGCAATTGTAAATATTAGGTAGAAAGAACTTTTTGGACTAAAAAACCTGTTCATAGAACATTATTATCGTTGTAATTCATTCATTTTTGTAGTGTGGTTTATCACAAAGAATTCTCTCTATTAAGTGAAAAAAATAGTGAAATACTTCTAAAAAGTGAAGCTGGAAATGATAATGCCAAATGGTTCTGGGTAAGCAGTTCTAAAACCATATCAAGCTGCAAAAGAACCAAAGCAAAATATGATAGCAAATATGTTTGCTCTTTCAAATATCACTGGGAACAGGTTTCAGAAACACGTTCTCTTTTAACTATTTCACAACCAAAATATAATACATATTCAGTACACAAAATCTACAAACCTTTAACAAAATTCTATACACACCAGAACAAAAAGTTCAGTTAGAAAATAATTTTAGAAACACTCATTAAAAAAAAAACAAAACAACAAAAACACACACACACGCACACACTTAAATTAACACGTTTTTACATATGCAGTATTATCTCTGCATTTCACAATATAATACAATTGAATACTAAATTTTATATTAAAATATAGTAACTTATAAGGTTTTGGCTTATTACGAGTATCAAATAATATATTCATTCACCCATTGGTATTGAATTCTTTATATATTTTACAAATCCTAATTTTCACACATTGCTCAATAAGAATTGATGAAGTCAGTAAGTAAGTTGCAAATGTCACAAAAGAAAAGTAAGTAAATAACAGAAGGAAGATTTAGCACAGCAATGTAATTAAAGCTTTGAATCCAGATCACCATTATCTTATGCCCATAAGAAAAGCATAAAAATCCTTGTGATGAGAACTATTATGAAATGACATCTTCATGTTGTTGGTTAACATGCTTTGAAATAAGGCATTCCAATACTCATGAAACTAAGCACTCTAAAACTTAAGTGTTATTACTACTATACTATTATCCTCATGATTGTTGCAGAAGTTATTAATTGCCAGTTGTAAAAAAGAATACAGTTCAAGTTTTTAGCACATCTCAGTGCTTGTACATATGTTATTCATTTCATATTCACAAGACTATTACTTTATAAACTAATAAATATTTTGCATTATTTTTATCATTAATATTTTTATTATTAATATGTTATTATGATTATCATCATCACTACCATTCTTGACCATTATTGTATATCCCATGATTATTTTCAATTCAAAACTTACAGTATCCTGGAATGCACACACAACTGTCAAAAACAGCAAACTAACTGATAATTGCAGTAAATCAATGGAGGACATATACATATTGCACTTCCCTCATTTGCAACTTATTTTCTGATATTTCATCACAATCTGCATTACATTTTTTACACATTTCTTCTCTTGTTAGCTCCACCTTTCAAGGAGAATGAAGAGCTGAAGAAGCTGTAGAGATCAAACTCGTGTGGAACACAGGCTCTTCTTCCGTAATCTGCATATGATGGAGTGATTTCCAATAGTAACAAACCCGTGTAAAAATATAATTTGACGTAGTCATACATTTTCATTTTTTCAGGGATAGCACACCCCAAAAACTTCCTGTCATCAATCCATTGAAGGATCGATGGATTGAAGGGATCATTCATTGGTCAGCTTCATAAGCTAGTCATCGAATACTTGTGAAAAGATTCAACACAGATTTGTTTTCCTACAAAGAATTTTAATTCATTAGTTGATGTAAATTAGTTGCAATTTTATGCCATGCAATGCAATGAAGTGTAGATTTTAAATTACAAATTACCTTTTGAGATCGTGCCTTGCTAAAAACATTCCAAAAACGTAACGTTTCATCACCAGCACCAGTCACAATAGCTTCACCATCTGGCGACATTGCCAGATATAAAACACGATATGAATGTCCAGTTAACTTTGCTACCTGTGTAAGACTAGGATATTTCCACACTAAAATCTGATTTTGAGAATAGCCATGAGTGCTGACCTATTTTGAGGATAGAAACAAATAGAACTTTAATATTGAGACAATCTAAAATGAAAATCAAAAATAAGAGTAAATTCTTGGAATAATATAACTGAGAATTTGAGGTATGTATATATGAAATCAACAATGTATTTTTGTGATACATAAAGAACTTATTTAAATGTAAGAAACTCACCAATTCAGACGAATGCTTTGACCAAGCTAAATTACATACTTGAGACCCAGTATCTACACACTGCATTGGCTGACCAGTCAATGTATTCCAAAATCGAATACAACGATCAGCAGTGCCACCACCACTTGCCAACAAGCCATGATGGTGAGGTGACCATGCAATTGCTATTAACAATTGAAAAAAAAGAGCAATTAATATGATAATTTATTGTTGCAATTAATATTATTATTGATTTGTATTTAGTAGGTAAATACTGGAATCGAAAAGCCTTGAAAAGAAAACAATATCTGAATTAGTTTGGCTCCTCCACATACTACCCATTATTAAATGAAGTACAAGACACTATCATTAACATAATCATAACACTTTAACAGGGAAAATAAGAAAAATCTAATTTCATTTCATAAACTAATATTCAAAATTGAATATAATGGGAGCTCAGCACAAATAGCATCGAACACAAAGAAAGAAAATTTAATGAAGAAATTTAGATAAACAATTCTAAACCAAGACTCAATAAATAATGCAACAACTGACAAAGTGCAGTCTGATAGCTTACTAATGCTTCCTCTCTTTTGGCATTGCTTTCTAGTAAACATTACAATGTGAACATTAACATATCAAACAATATAAGGTTAAGGAAGACAACAGTATGTTACTTTTACTTAAATCAATCTGCAGCATTTATGCTTTTTAGTTCTCAATGCTTTCTTAATGTAAATAACGACACCATTTCCACACCACTACACAGAACCAGCACATACTTATTATTTTAGTGTAGCCACATATTGCGCATCTTGGATGTTGGACTTCCAATATAAATTTCAATATATTTTCCCAGATGTGAGTAAACTTTTACCTAATTGGAGTGGAGACAAAAACTTGTACCATTTGAACAGAAGCCCCTCTCAGGATTTGCTTCACAGGTTAAAGGAAAACAAAAAACAAACAGAAATAGAGGTCATTGATTCCCTAGTTCTTTATAAATTGGCAAAAATATTTATATATTTCCAGTCATGGAAATTTCAGTAATGGGATAAAAATTGTGAGAACCACACAGCATCCATAAGGCTGCAAAATGACTCAATAGATTTGTTAGTAACTCCAGATCGTAGGAATAATTAAAAACCAGATTATGCAGAATATTTTACGAGTATTAACTAGAAAAATTAAATAATTTTCAGCTTAAAAACTGTACAAACATAATAAAATTATTAGTAAAAATGATAAAATATAATTTTTAACTCTTTTAATTTTTTATTTCCCATTGTCATTACTTTCATGTAGAGCCAGTGCTACCACTGTTACTAAGTATGGTTTTTAATAATTATACTATAATATATAACTATTTCTATTAAATTAATAATTTGGGGAGAATTTCAGGACCTAAAATTTTATAAATCAAGCACTGCTCCTATCAATTTATGTTCCACTTCTCTTTGGGGTTTGAAATTTTCCATAGTAAACGAAGCGACATTGGACGCAGAGTTTTTTTTATAACACCATTAATGTGTTCCAATTCTTTCTCAACAATTTTATTCACTTGCAACCTTCATTTTTCATTTATTTGCACATTGCTACTGTTGATAGCTAAAAATGTAAAACATTGAAAAGTATTTGAACAATATACTTCACCTTTCACAGCAGCCAAATGTTCAGTATATGTTTGAACAGGTGATAAGGAGTGAAGATTCCAGACAAAGAGGCGATTGTCGTTTCCACCCGAAGCAAGGTACTGATTGTCAGGAGACCATTTTAATCCACAAACCTGTAAAGAAATTGAAGTCCATTAAGTTTATTATATATAAGTATATAAAATAATTTAGTTTAGGAATTCTCAAACATTTAAGTGCTAAGGTACTATTGTTACTGAAAATATTTAAATTAATTAAATATTTTCAGGTATTCTTGTTTCAACCTTTATACAGGCAACAGGAAACATGCATGAACTATCTAACTAATATTTTATGCATAAACTATAGAAATTATAAGGATAGTTACATTTCTTAAATTATGATTCCCTGTAATATACTATTTGATAAAGTTTCCAGATTCCAAATTTAAGACCATCAGGTTTGTTTTCACTTCTTTCAAGACAGTAACATTAAATAAAATTTGATAAAATAAATTGTGATTTATTTATTCAAATCATACAGAACGTTTTAGAGTGTGTCTCCATCTTCAGCTACAAAGGTACACTGTCATCAGTTTTAAAATATTTCCATATGTGATGTAGAACACATGATGTTATTCCAACATTAAGTATTTGAACCATTTCGGATCATAAATCCACGTCATTACATCTTCAAACCAACGTTACTCATTTGGTGGGTTTACACCTAGTGAACCCTATTTAAATAAGTATCTCCCAAAAGCTGAACATTCTGACCAGCAAACTCTATAACCAGCTTTCAGGAGTTACTTATTTAAATAGGGTTCACGACATGTAATCTTACGAAATGAGTAGGGCTGTGATTTATATGTATTTGCTTATGTTTTCTGCATTCATAGGCGTTATTTTTTTTCTAATAACTAAAACATCCTTTTTCAACAAATTGTGTATGTTTTGAAGCATTTAGAATCAAATTAAGCAATTTTTATTTAGCACGTTTTCACACATATCACCATGCATATTTTTGCACATTTAGACCATATTTGCAAATTTTTTTTGCATATTCACCCCTTATCCATGAAACGAAGCCTAAAAGTTATAGTTCTGTCAGAGTGTAAGCATCTCTGACTGTTCTTTTTGCCACTTGCTATGGTACATCATGTAACCTGCTCTGAAGCAATGGGCTTCTGAGGATTTGTTTATGTTGTCAAGCCATGGATCAATGTTGCCACTCGCCAGGCACATTCAAAGTCGCTCAAGAAATACGCTAAGACGTCATTGGAGGTATCAGTTGAAATGAAATGTGCATACACCAAGCGCCAATGCATGTCTACACACGGCACAAATGTGGAAAAGTGTTAAAAGAGTCAGGCGCATGAATTTGTCGTGAATTGAGAGAAACTCATATTGTTGTTGCAATACCTATATTTTCTTTTCTTTTGTATTTTTATTTTTTGTGTGAAATGTACATTAACTGCATCTCATATTATTTTCTTAAAAAATGAGTGTTCTTCAAAATTAAGCCCTTGACTTAATGTTTGTCGCTTGTAACAATTTATATAATTTCTCTATCTTTTTTTGCTGTAACCCTATTTTCCACAGAACAAGTTTTATTTATTTTTACATTTGTACATTACATTACATTACATTACACTATTTCACATATTTTACTTCTTTAATTGCATATATTACCAAATATATTTACATACATATGCACATATTTTGATGTTTTTATTACTTATAAATCATAGCCCTACAAATGAGTAACATTGATTTGAAAATCTAATGACATGGATTTATGATCCTTTACAGTTAGTATCTGCTAGCACGATTCAACATCAATCACTTTTCCCTTCACTCACAGTCTCATCAAAAGCATACATTATTTTGATGTGACAAGCAATTCCCAATATATTTTCTGCTCTTTGATATCCTTCATTTTCCATATATTCTGTCTCTCAAAAAAACTTTTCAGTTTTTCAACACATTTCAAATTTCAACAATTTTAAACACTTTTCTTCAACAAATATTTTGAAACATTTCTACAATCTCTTCACAAGGCAGTGCACATTAAGAATCATGCGCCCTGGGCACAATCTGAATGCTCATCACTTTAGGGTGTACAGCATATAAGACACGCAATTTATATTGAATTTTGGGCAAGGTAATATTTGATTATAATGTTCTGATGATTGTCCCCAAGTGAACAGTTTTTATCTGTAGCAAACACTAACCTCTTGACGATGACCAACTAATCTTCTTTCAGGTACAAGTCCAGGAGTTCGCACATCCCTCTGCAGAATCAAACGATCTCTGCTACCAGAAGACAAAACATCTCCATTCCACGCTAAAGCACCCACTCGAGCAGAATGTCCCTGAAGTTTATTGACTTGCTTATTAACACTAACATCCCAAACCTGAACGTACCCATGATGAGTACCCACAGACACCAAATTCCCCTGAAAAAAGGAAAAGGAAAGTCTCAATATGGTTTCACATTCTTAGTGGTCCTTGAAACATACAACATATATTACATATTACAACAAGAACAATAATAGAGAAAGACTCCCTAAATACATGAAGGACTTCAACATTGTTAAACCACTATATTACCTAGATGTATAAATCCCATCCCACTCTGGCAAGCCCATACTACCATACACACTGAACTAGCAAACATACCATACCTTTCCTCTGAATTTAATGCAAATGTCCCAGATGTGATAAAAAGAATGTTCCAAAAGTCTGACAAATTTTGTAAGTTTACACTGACGGATCCAAACAAGAAGTAAACACCAGCAGTGCAGTGATAATGAAGTCAACCCATATCGCCACCCAGATTATTTTTTTTCATTTTTACATGTGAAGCATGGGCACTGCTTAATGCCATTGATATCAGTGTCAAATCATTTGTCTATTGTCACCTCACTGATACAATGAGAACACAAACCATTAAAAACACATACACCAGCAATCCAATAATCCAAGAACTTATATTTATACTAGTTGGCTTCTAGTAAGAAAATTATCGGGAATGACTCAGCTTCAAAAAGTTCATTATCAAATGTTGACACACACATTCATGGCACCTAACCTTTTCAAGGATTCTTGTTTGAAGTACTGGGACTTGCAATGGAAGATACAGTCATCAAAACTACATCAAGCACGAAATACTATTCTGAAACCAGGTCTTCCAAAATCAAGCTTCAAAACAACAGAACATCATTACCAGACTAAGGATTGGTCACATTAATCTAAATTACTGTCACCTGTTCAAAAAATTCCAACCCTGAACCCTAGCCTAAATGTGGTGCTACAGTGTCTACTCCCCATATTATTCATGAATGCCCTGGGATTTAATGGAACGGAAAGATAAGAATCTTCGTAATAGTAGGGAATTACGGAAAATAGAAGGAAGCCTCTATACATTGTTCAAATGAACAGCATTAAAATTTTGAAATTACTAGAAATAAGTAAAATGAAGAACAAAATAAGAGTACACAAGTTTTTGACATTTAATATAAATGTATTGATGTATGAACAATAGAGGTTGTTGATGTCAACCAATTCATCTAAATCCTCTTCCAAATTTTATTCCCAATCATCCTTAAAAGAGGGAATTGTACTTGATAAAATTAACACCTCGACTTGTATTTTGATTAAACTTTCAATTTATTTCTGTGACACTTTTCACAAATTAGGAAGAAATGGACCCAATCATGGCCGGTATTGATAGCCAAATTGCTTAACTACGCTCCGTTAAGTCACGAAAGTTGAGCAAATTGAGATGTCACAGATATTGTGTACATTAAAGCAAGAAACATTGAGCAGGAACATTGTAATGAGAGTGTATTGTTCAGTTATTCAATTTATAGGAGAAATGTAGGTGATAATTTAACAATTTTCTTTCCAATGTGTGTCATGGTTCACAATGTTCGTAAGTGACCATTTCAAGAAAATTTAGGCATATTTTGTACTATTCAGTTCCACAAAATTGCTATTTTTTCAATTTGTTTTTCTGGACTTGCATGTCTGTTCTCCACCACTCATATATATCTCTTACAATTTTATACTTTACATCTTACAATTTTAAAAATTCTTGAAGAGAAATAATGAATATGAAATTATTATTTGTTAAGTACAGTTTCAAACAAATAATATTACCCAACACTAGTGTTCCATAGGCACATCAGAGGTTCCTTGTAAAATCACATCATGAATTATAAGATGATAAATATCATCATTGTGCCCTTAAAAATGCAAACATACTTGCAGTGAGTTTCCATGCAATACTTACTCTTTCATTCCATGCAACAGATGTCACTGAATTTCCATCTGATGAAAGATCACAAAGTCTTGTGACCTGACTAGTACACGCAGACCACAAATATACACAGCTACCAAGACCTACACTTAAAACATTTTGGGAAGACCAGTCAACAAGATTCAAATAAAAATCATCTTGAAGCTCTGGAGCATCCAAAACCTAGAAACACACACAAATGTTGTTTTAACAACCAATACACAAGTAATTCCATGTGAAATAATAATGCACACAACAGAAATGAACTGGTAATTTGTTAGAATGACCAAAATTGGACTTGCTTATATTAGCTCACAATGGAATCTTTGCAAAGTTTTTACTCTCTCCTCAAAAAATCGGAATTTTCGAGATGAATCATTAAAATTTGGTCATTGATATAGTACATATGTACATATAAACCCAATCAAAGATATAACTCACCTTGAAAGGGATTCTAGAAATTTTTCGGGTAGCTTTTCTGGGAGACCTAAGTAATTTTTGGCTTTCAGCACTTACTGGAGACAACGAATACGCTGAGCGAGTTGCTACATCATTATTTGCAATATTTTCATTGGAAGAGGCGAACTGAAAAAACAAAAATTAATAAATTGAAGAAGCAAATTCACTGAAAACGGTATAACTATAAGAAAACAACTGGTGAAAGAACACACTGACACTGAAATTGAGACAACTGCCTCAAATGTGTATAGAAGATGATAAATCTGTATAGAATATAACAAGCTGACATTATTACATAGTAGATTCACATATAATAAAAAGTTTTGCATGCAGTGGAAAGGAACACCATCAGATAATTTATTTCTTGTACCTTTGTATTTTTTGTCTCTTTTTCTATTCTTCACATTACAAGTATTCAATAAGAACAAGATATTTCGTCTATCGCAGGGTTGCTCCGATGTAAGTATTGGGGCCAGACAGCCAGCGGTGACCCCCTGCATTTGCCCATATGCCACTCGACTTTCACTAGTCTTACGAATCTATTGTGCCCAAACATCTCCCTTACCCAACTCCTTTCATCAGGTGACTCAACAAGCAGCAGGCTACACCAGATATTTGGTGGTATCAGGGCCCACCAAGTGTGCCATCCACTTCAGTAGCCCCAATCTATATTACTAGGTGGCCATACAAATTCTGGCATTCTTTTTGCCTATTATATTCCTGACAGTAGAACTATAAGTATATTCACTCATCCTTTTTGGAATGTCTGAAAGCTCAGGTTTTTATTTTGTTTATGTGAATTTGTTATCCTGTTAATCTGATATTCTCTTGTAGGAACCTAATTGAGATACATCAGAATATATATAGGGCATATTATTTCACGTGAGGGATTGATTGTACTCTTAGTATTCCATCACTATGTACCTGCTTCCGTTACAAGGTTGTTAGGAATCCACCCTTTCAACCTTTGCCAGCACTCATCAAATTCCATGGCCTTCTGTACAATTAATGCGGGTACAGTAATGGTTATCTCTACATGGTCTTATTTTGATCTTGGAAGTTGGATGAAAATGGCATGGCAAGTTTAATACTTCAGACGCATATTTTTACCCAACATTTACTGTTAATAATGCTATTAAATATTGAAACTTCTTTGGAAAGAAGGCTAACTGGACCTTAGGACTATCTTGAATAGGTCATGAGTAGATAAAAATCCCCAGCTATGCTAGGATTTGAATTAAATGGGATTTTATATTGTTTACATGCTTATTAAATAAATACATAAAATTGACCAAAAATTTTATATTATCAACACATCAATATCAACAAATTTGTTTAAATCACAGAACGGTAATGATACCTGCTAACATAAAATAGTTTTGAAGGAACTGCTGAATTATGGGACAGGCTTCACAACAAACAATTAAATCAGATGAATATTTTCAGATTCGATTATTAAATGTAAGAATTAAAAAAATATATATAAGTTACATTTCAATGCAAGTGATTCCAAGTGTTCAAAACATTAGTCAACCAGACCAGTAATCGAACTCAGATCTCGTAGTTTGTGCCCAGTTACTTTTGTCACTATTCTGCCACGACAACCATGTAGAGAAATTTCCTACAAATTCCCCAAATTCACTGGTGTCTAATGCCTTGAACAATTTTAACTATAAATAACTTTGTTACACTCTAATAAGGTCATGTCATGGATTACATTTACTGCCTGGAATAATTCCATAATTTGGTTTTCCAGAAGGAGCAGAAAAGCAGTTGCTCCATTCTATCATGTTGTAAAATGTTACATTACATTTATTAAAGTAATAGAGATGAGAAACTCCTAAAAAATTTGTGTAGAGCAGGAAATTTTTTTTTAACTGTTAGGTTTGAAGGCGTCACTGGGATTCTAACAACTTCCTTCCAATTTCCTTCCAAGCATTTTTAGTGTTTACAGTCTCAGATCTAGCAATAAGATAATATTTCTCAACTAAAATATCTGAAATATAAATGAAAACTTTTTGCAGGGTTTCATACAAAAGAAAAATTATATTTTGGAGATAAACACTATAGATGTTGCACATTAGTGAAAACATTTTTCTGTCCTTCTCAGACATACCTGCAGCATACCTACATTGATAATGGCAATTCTCAGTTATTAAAATGAATAATTCAATAATACACTATTTACAATGTGAACAGGTTTTCAATGTTAATTTAGAACTTCTAGCCATTTAAGTTTTTTATTGTCATTTATGTCATTCATGTTATTTTCAGTAAGGCAATTATAATACGTGGTCTCAATTTTCTCGCCTTAAATATTTCTAAAGAAAATACCTGGATTTGTCTAAAAATATTCTTCCAATCCAGAATTTTAACACTTTATGAATTTGAATTCTTCAAAACCAAACATTTCCAAACATCATTTTTCTAAATACTCTTTATTTCATTTAATTAGTGAATTAATAAAAATAAACTTCAGAAATAACACAAACTGTTAGTATTATGCTCAATGATAAAACATCAATCGCACACGATATGACCAAATTTTTTAAACTTATACAAGTTGCATTACTTTAAAGAGCATAAATTATCAATATTTACAGAAGAAATGTAATTATAAAGAAAGCAGATTTCAGTAATCTAGAAATTCAAAAGTGAAAATATTTACTATTCTGTATTATTACGAATCATGTTCCTGGATGCCGCTATATAAGTTTCTCACAAAGGAAGAAATATTTATTAACTAGAATTCGCTTTTTGCACAAAACTCACCTGAAACAAATTACGGCCTTCGATAGGATTTAATGTGCGACGCTCATCACACTGACCTTTAACATCATCTATATTAGCCCCTAAAAGTTCGTTTTTTAATAAACAGGAATATGCTAAACCATCTCGTCCTCCTTCACCATTTTCTCTGGCTTTTTTTGTGGTTGCACCAACACGCACCCCTTCCTAGTTTTAAAAAATTGAATAAAGAGGTAATATTTATGTTCTGTATCATGTTTATATATTAATGATAAGAAATGAACTATCTTAAAGACTGTAAACTTAACATTTGTATTGGTGCTCAAGAAAACAAAGTTTAAAAAAAAAACAACAGAAATGTTAAGGTAAATAAAGGTATCAACTGAATCTAAGTGAGGTGTTCACTTAAAAAAAAACTAAATACACAACATGAATGCACACCTTAAACAAAATTTCATTACTGTGAAAAAATGCATCATGAACTTTATTTCCAACAAAATTATTGATTTATTTTTGTGAAAAAAAAAAAAAAAAAAAAAAAACACAGTATAATGCACAAGTATTATGGAAAATTGTAAAATATAAGTTCACAAGAAACAATACATCAATAAAATATTCAATTAGTATTTTAACATTTTTTCCCAATTATATAGTATAAGATTATATGATTTTATATTATTATACCACAGAGAAAATTTGTCACCAAGAAAAGTTCATTAAAATAGTAAATGTGAAATACACAGACAAACACTGCCAACAAGACTTAATTTCCCCCTTTCCAAATTTCAAGTCACAACCCAAGTTGGGTGGAATTAATTCATGACTTGAATTGAATCAAGTTTCAGGTCCTGAATCAAAACAAGCCTCGTCTCGAGCCATGCATCAAGTAAAGTCATCTTGAGACACGCATTAAGTCAAGTCGTCTTGAGACACGCATTAAGTCAAGTCGTCTTGAGACACGCATTAAGTCAAGTCGTCTCGAGCTATGGGTTAAGTCGTCTCAAGCCAGGCATGAGGTAAAGTCATCACGAGCCACGTCAGTCAATTATCTACCCATGTTTCGTTTCAACCCAAGTCACGTATGGAGCTAAGTCTGGTAATACAGACCTAGATACGACAACTTTTGGTATGACAAAAAATCCAAGGCACTTATTTTCCCATTTCCATATTTGAAGTTTGCCATGTAAGTCAATAAGTATATAAAAAGTTTTATTAAAGCATTAAGACAATGAGTTTGTCTAAAATTATTCAACGAGTGACATAATACTATATTTATAACAAGCCAATAAGTAACAACACTTCCTTCTATACTTACAGATATCATTGCAAACTTCATTTGCCAGTTGTTATCTGTTCTACTGGGTATAAATCTGTCACTATTCAATCGAGCTTGACTATGAGGTGACAAACCCTGTAAGAAAATACAATAGTTTAATTAACAAATGAAATCATCAAGACAAGATCAAAATGACAGTCATTGCATAATTTCAGTGTCAGTATCATATCTTAACACAAAGTTTACAACAATCCATTTAATTTAGTTTTCTTCTTCACCAAGTCAAAACTGGTAAAACAATTTAAAATTAGAACTAAGACAAAAATTGTTTATACCGTTTTATTCCCTTTGTTTTCTTGCGCCCTATAACATTAAGCTTGCTCTTTCTTTCCTTTTTTTCTTTGCAAAATACGTAACTTGAAACAAACCTGAATATTACTACATTATTTTTAAATCAATTACAGTTTTTCAACACATGGTATAAAAAAAAAAAGACTTAAGAATGTATATGGTAATTTAAAGATTGGGAAAATTCCTGACATCCAAATATAAAGGTCTTTTGATGTACATAATTACAAATTTTGAAAATTAATTCTTCCAAAATTTGAGGATCATTTGCAAAGCCTTATGGTCTAGTGTTTCTCCACGAAGACTATGGAAAAAGCATTTTCTAACACACTAAATGGATCTATTTTTCATGATATGAAAGTACACTCCTTTCTATTTTACAAGATTCATGGAACAGTTTGAATGGGTTTATAGGTACCAGTGGCAATTATTGAATTATTAACAACACTTAACAACATACAATATAAGTTATGCTTGGAAAAAATGTTCAGCACATTCATAAAATCATATCAAAAAAGTTATTCTGTAACGCAACAGGTGAATAAGAAATATATAATAGCAAGCCACACCTTCCTTGGACTCTTGCTGTTAAACGACAACAGTTGTGATGTAAGCAATGACACAATCAGAAAGAGAATTCAGTCAGAATGCGCACCATGAGAATATGCGAAGTAACACAATCAAATATTTGCATTTTTCACTAAAAATTGTAACTTTTTTTTCCTTCTTTCAATCAGATCATTACTTGGGATTTCAATCGAAACATTTTCATTTCCAATGTATCAAAGGAAACCATGGACACCTCTCAAATGGCCAGAGGCTGTATTTGTTCTGATTGAAATCCCAACTAATGATGTGATTGAAAGAAGGTAAAAAAAGTTACGATTCTTGGTGAAAACGCAAAAGTATCAAAGGAAACCATGGACACCTCACAGATGGCCAGAGGCTGCATAGTTTTGTTTCCAATTTCTTTTTTTTCTTGAGTTTCTGTTTACCTAATGACACCTCTCACAACAACAACAACAACAATAATAATAATAGAAAGGGTTTCGTTTAAGGAAAATAAGGGATATACGTAGTTTTAACATCATACAATGACTACTATACACTTTAAAAATGAAAAAAAAACACATAAACAACATAAATAAAAAGGTATTAGTACTGGAAACATTTCTTGTTTACAATTATTAAATGGGCAGAAGAGGATTTATTAGTGCCAACTTCACTCTTTCTTTCCTCTTATCTCAATTTAAACAATGAAAAATCATCTACAAAATGGATACAGGTACTTTGTTTACAATGAGATACACATACTTTATTCCCTCTGAAAAAAAGTGCTAAGGGTGATTATGAAAATAATGATTAGTAGGACAACCGAGGGGCGGGGACTCCTAGGGCATGAGCCCTTCCAAACATTATCGACTCATTACAACATCTATAAGCTCCACCTGAAAAATACTGCTTGTGCCACTGATGATGATAACAACAACAATATTAATAATAATAATAATAATAATAATAATAATAATAATAATAATAATAATAATGTATAAAATGTAATGCGATATGCATAGAATGTCATGTGAAGATGATGAAAACAAAGATGGAGGTAAAATAGATACTCTATCAAGTAAATAATTACTTGCACATGTGAAATCAAATTCAGCAAAGCCTCACTGCCTGATGACCAGCATCCCAGAAAGAATGAAGAGAGTAGATCAGAAGCATCAGCCAAGCATTCAAACTACTCTGGAGTGACAAACGTCATGGGATGCCTCTTAATACCGTATCAGACCTCCTTTTGCCTGGTGAAGTGCAGGAACTCGAGTCGTTGGAAAGACCCTGTAGAAATACTGTGCCATGCTGCCTCTAGATACTGGCAGAGTTAGCTCTGACAACACTGCTTGCTAGTGTTGTCAGAGCAGGATTTTGTGCACAAATTGACCTCTCGATTATGTTCCATAAATGTTCGATGGGATTCATGTCGGGCAATCCGGGATGGCCAAATCATTTACTAGAATTATTCAGAATGTTCTTCAAGGAAGTTACGAAAAATTGTGGTCCGGTGATGTGGAGCATTGTCATCCATAAAATGTCCATCCTTGTTTGGGAATATGATGTCCATAAATGGCTGCAGATGGTCCTATAGCAACTGAACATAACGCATTTCAGTTAGACCAGAGGACCCAGTTCATTCCATTTAAAAATAGCCCACACCATTGCAGAGCCATCACCTGCTTGTACAGTGCCTTGTTGACAACTTGGGTCCATGGCTTCATGGGGTCTGCGCCACATTCAAACCTTGCAAACAGCTATTACCAACTGAAATTGGGATTCATCTGACCAAGCCCCGGTTTTCCAATTGTCGAGGGTGAAACTGATACTGTGACGGGCCCAGAAGAAGGGTTGCATGTGACGACGTGCTATAAGCGAAGGCACTCGAGTCGGTCTTCTGCTGCCATAACCCATTAGATACAAATTTCGCCGCACTACCCTAACATATACGTTTGTCCCAAACCCAACATTGATTTCTGTGATTATTTCACGCAGTGTTGCTTGTCTGTTAACACATTGTGGAATGGAATAATCACAAATTGTGGTAGCCACTCCCAAAAAGAGCTGTGGTGAAGGTTTTAGAAAACCTATTGAAAAAAATTAAATTACCACTATTGTAGTCCTGCAACATAAATTTATTTGTGGACAATTTTCGAAAATACAGAGGCGTCGTCGAAAATACCTAGGGATCTCGAAAATAGAGATCGCCGAAAATGAGGCCTGTGCACATGTTTTTTGAAGGTCTAGTCTTCATTTCCGACGCGAAAAAATGGGGGGGGGGGGGGGAATCGGAACACTGTTTTGGGGAATTTTTTTACAAATTGCCTTTCTTGCAAACAAAACAGGCTAAAACTGGGGGGGAGTACAAGACCATTTTAAAGATTTTTTAACATATTTTATTTAAGTAAAATATCTATCATCAATATTGTACTTACATAATGTTAATTTTTTACAATTTTCTAAAAACAAAGTGCTCGTCGAGCATTTACTTACTGTAAAAAAAAGCTACATACGAGGAAAACAACAAACAAAAAATTGGAGCCAGTTTTGCGACAATAATTGTCAAAAATTGCCTATATTTCGTGCAAAATTACGTGGAAACTACTTATTTTCGAAATCTTGTACAAGACATTATTCCTAGATCTTTGGACAACAGATTTCATTGAGGAAAACAATCATATCTTTAATACTGTAGTTATAGGAAGACGGCGAAAACAATTTGAACTTTTGCAATTCTCGAAAATTAAAAAGTTTGAAAGTAAATGATACCTGGGCGATTTTTTGCGTCCTTTTAAATATCCGAGGGCAAAGTTTAATTTTAGAAATTTGTAAGTATTTTTGAGGAAATTTTGAAAATACTGACGGGCGGAGGGAGAGTGGAGCTGACGGAGGGGCGGACGAAGTGAGACAGGCGTTTTGCCGCAAACAAATTTTTCGGAATCAAGGACCCACAAAACGCGAATTATGACTACACAACGTAGTTGTACGTTTTAGAGAATTTTTTTTAATTAAAAACCACAAAAGAAACAATTAATAAACAAATATTTTTGTGTTTGTGTTCCCATTGTATTTATTGTATTATACATTGTTCTAACCTTGATGTATACATCCCTTATGATGGAGAAATAAAACTCCGAAATGTCGGCAAACTGCTATAATTATTTAATTAACGGACCAAAACCCATGAGCAACAAAATGGATTCTACTAATGATGGTCGTGAAATATAGCATATATTACATTGTAGTTTACAAGGAAGTAGTCAGTAGCAACTTTGTAACGGTTTAAAAAACTATTAAGCACATTCATTTATCCGTCAACCGCTAGAAATAATTATCGGAAAATATAGTTGGTAAATTTTAATTATTAATTTCGAAGATGGTGCATGCTACCAAAGATAACACAAACATGGCGCATATGGCACTAACGATAATGGCATACGGCACGAAAGATGACACTGTTTAGCTGGAATGAAAGAAATGTACATTTAAATTAGATGATTTGGTATATTCGCGTTAATTTAAGGAACTAATCCACAAAAATGCTTGAACCAAGAGGACCCGACCGATCCACGCGCCAACGTGACAAGTATGTTGCACACCATCAGGATTGCTCAAGTGAATCGTGGGTGAGGAGCAGCCTTTCCTTACGAAAGCGCCAGATCAGAGGCGGCGTTGTGATCAATTGTGCGGCTTGCGATAAAACTCAGTCCCAGCTAAGTTTCAGTGTCCCAATAATTCCAAACGTAGAAAAAGTGTCTTGAAATTTTCAACTCAAAAATATTGAATTGCAGCATGAGTCTGCATTAAAGGTCAGATTTCAAACAAAAATTACATTTGCTAGAATCTAATGAGAACTTCCATCAAAAACGTTATCCGAAGCAGCTTCGATGTGCTAGGCGAATGTTAAGTGTATGTTTGGATCAACGTAGAACTGTTAAAGCACTTTCTTTGAAAGTTTGTAAACCTCGATTGAGGTGTAACGTAACATCACAATCTGAAATGCTTATTTTGCGCAGGGGCACCGTGTCATCGATTCTAATTGATTGTATTTCCCGGAAGCGTCCACTGCTAAAATTATTAGACCCGTAAGTGTAGTACATTTTTCTTATCGCGAGAGGTGTAGGTGAACGTCCCCGCTAGATGGTGAGATCTGGCGACAACCTACTACAGACAGCTTGCGGGAATAACCCCAACCTGGCATATACCACCAGCGAGGGCCACTCTTCAGCTGG